GTGGATTTTGAAGGGATTTTTAGTGGATTTTGAAGGGATTTTTAGTGAACTTTTTAAGAAATTTTTAAGGAATTTTGGAGGGATTTTGAATGGATTTTTAGTGGATTTTTAGTGGATTTTTAGTAGACTTCTAATGAATTTTTAGTGTATTTTTGAGGATTTTTAAGAGATTTTTTTGGGATTTGCTTTTTCCAACCCCCACAGGATTCCCCAGAATACCCGTTATCCATGAGCTCCTAACTGAAAATGGGATTTTGAAGGGATTTTGAAGGGATTTTTAGTAAATTTTCTTAGAGATTTTTAGGGTGGTTTTAGTGGATTTTAAAGGGATTTTTAGTGAGTTTTTAAAGGATTTTTAGTGGGTTTTGAAGGGATTTTTAGCGGATTTTGAAGGGATTATAAGTGGATTTTAAATGGATTTTTAGTGAGTTTTTAAGGCATTTTTAGTGCATTTTTAAGGAATTTTTAGTGTGTTTTTAAGGAATTTTTAGTGGATTTTTAGTGAATTTTCTAAGGGGCTTTTGGGGTATTTTTAGTGGATTTTTGAGGATTTTTTTGGGATTTTTTTGGGATTTGCCTTTTCCAACCCCCCAGGATTCCCCGGAATACCCGTTATCCATGAGCTCCCGTCCCTGGCGCCGATTCCGGGCGGGATTCTCGGAGCTGGTGGCCACAGTGGTGCGGCGCTGCCAGTACAGCGTCATCTACGATGGATTCCTCATGGATTCCTGGATCTCCTTCCTCACCGGCCTCTCGGATTCCCAGGTCCGGGCCTTCCGCCACACCAGCACCTTGGCAGGTACGGATGGATCCATAGGGATCGTCCCGGGAATTCCAAAGGGGGGATAGGAACCTCAGGGACCCTTTTTTCCCTCCTCCTAGCCCTTTTTTTGCCCATTTTTTGGTTGTTTTTCCTCAAAACCCTCCCTTCCACCCAAATCCTGTTTTGCTGCCGTTTTTCCTCATCCCAGACCAGGTTTTTCCTGTTTCTCCCCAGTTTTCTCTCACAATCTTCCATTTTGTTCTGTCGCAATCCTGTTTTCCTCATTTTACTCTATCTCACCCCTTTTTAACACCATTTTCCCTCAGTATTTTCTTAGTCCTCCGTTTTCTCCCACCGAAATCCCTTTTCCCCCATTTTCCTCCAGTTTTCCCTCAGAATCCTTTATTTTCTCCCACCCAAATTCCTTTTCCCCAGGTTTTCTCTCAGAATCCTCCATTTTTTCTCACCCAAATCCCTTTTTACCACTATTTTCCTTCAGTTTTCTCTCAAAATCTTCCGTTTTGTTCCATTTCAATCCTGTTTTCACCATTTTCCCCCATACCACCCCTTTTTACCACCATTTTCCCCCAGTTTTCTCTCAGAATCTTCCGTTTTCTTTATTCCCCCGTTTTCTGTCATCCGAGAACTACATTCTCCTGCTTTTTTTCCTTCAGATCTCTCCATTTTCTCCCACCCAAATCCTGTTTTCCTGCCATTTTCCCCCAGTTTTCCCTCAGAACTCTCCATTTTCTCCTGCATGAGTCCTGTTTTCCCACCATTTTTCTCCAGTTTTCCCTCAGAACCCTCCATTTTCTCCCGCCCAAATCCCATTTTCCTGCCATTTTCCCTCAGTTTTCCTTCAGAATCCTCCATTTTCTCCCACCCAAATCCTCCATTTTCTCTCCATTTTCCCTCATCCCAGACCTGGTTTTTCCCATTTCTCCCCAGTTTTCTCTCACAACTCTCCATTTTCTCCCACCCAAATCCCCTATTCTCTCCCATTTTCCCTCATCCCAGACCTGGTTTTTCCCATTTCTTCTCACTTTTCTCTCAGAACCCTCCATTTTCTCCCTCTCAAATTCCTTTTTCTCTTCCATTTTCCCTCATCCCAGACCTGGTTTTTCCCATTTCTTCCCACTTTTCCCTCAGAACTCTCCATTTTCTCCCACCCAAATCCCATTTTCCCGCCATTTTCCCCCACTTTTCCCTCAGAATCCTCCATTTTCTCCCGCCCAAATCCCCTTTTCCCCCTACTTTTCCCTCAGAACCCTCCATTTTCTCCCACCCCAATCCCTTTTTCCCGCCATTTTCTCCCCATCCCACCCTATTCCTCCCTCTTTTCCTGCTTTTCCACGCCTTTATCCCATATTTCCCCAGCCCTGAAGCTGATGACGGCGCTGGTGGACGTGGCCCTGGGCGTCCACGTCCAGCAGGACAACAACCAGCGGCACCTGGAGGCGGAAAAGGCCAAGGAATTGGGAAGGAGGGGCACGGAAAAGATGGAAGCGCTGCTGGAAAAGCGCCGGGAAGTGAGTTTTGGGGTTTTTTTTCTGGGATCGGGGGGGCTCCGGGACATCCCTAAATCCCTCGGGATCCCCTTCCCGAAGCTCCTGGAGCAGCAGGAGGAGATGGAGGTGCTGATGAACGTCGTGTTCAAGGGGGTCTTCGTGCACCGCTACAGGTGGGAATTGCGGGATAACGGAGGATTCTGAGGGAAAAATGGGGCGGGAGGGGGGAAAAAGGGGCGGGAAGTGGGATTGGGGTGAGGGAAAATGGGGTGGGAGGGGGGAAAATGGGGTGGGAGGGGGAAAAGGATGGGGAAAAGGGGAGAAAACAGGGTTGGGATGAGGGAAAATGGGGTTGGGATAAGGGAAAATGGGATTGGGATGGAGGGGAAAGGGGGAAAATGGGGTTGGGATGAGGGAAAATGAGGGAAAATGGGGTTGAGATGAGGGAAAATGGGATTGGGATGGAGGGGAAAGGGGGAAAATGGGGTTGGGATGAGGGAAAATGAGGGAAAATGGGGTTGGGATGAGGGAAAATGGGATTGGGATGGAGGGAAAAGGGGGGAAATGGGGTTGGGGTGAGGGAAAATGGGAGAAAAGAGAGGTGGGAAAAGGGGGAAAATGGGGTTGGGATGAGGGAAAAAAAGGAAAATGGGGTGGGACGAGGGAAAATGGGATTGGGATGGAGGGAAAATGTGGCAAAATGGGAGAAAACAGGATTGGGATGAGGGAAAATGGGCGGAAAATGGGGTTGTGAGGGGGGAGAAGGGGGAAAAATGGGATTGGAATGGGGGAAAACGTGGATGCTGTGGGAATGAGGGGTGTGATCCCGGGAATGCCGTGGGATTTTAGGGACGTGGTTCCCGAAATCCGGGCCGTGTGCATGGAGGAGTTGGGAATCTGGATGAGGAGATTCCCGGGATCCTTCCTGACAGACAGTTACCTCAAGTACATCGGGTGGACACTCCACGACAAGGTGGGAATTTTGGGATAAAAGGGGGGTAAATGGGGTGGGATTGGGAAAAATGGAGGGAAAATTGAGGGAAAATGGGGTGGGATTGGGGAAAATGGAGGGAAAATGGGGTGGGATTGGGGAAAATGGAGGGAAAATGGAGGGAAAATGGGATGGGATTAGGGAAAATGGAGGGAAAATGGGGTGAGATTGGGGAAAATGGAGGGAAAATGGGGTGGGAATGAGGGAAAATGGAGGGAAAATAGGATGGGAATGAGGGAAAAATTGGGGATTTTGGGGGGTTGGGATGAGGGAAAACGGGGTTGGGATGTGGGAAAATGGGGAAAACGGGCTGGGAACGGGGGGGAAATTGGGGATTTTGGGACTTGGGATGAGGGAAAATGGGGGTTTTGGGGGTGGGGAGGGTGCCCAAAATTCCCAAATTCCCGTTTTCCCAGCAAGGGGAGGTTCGGCTCCAGTGTGTGAAGGCGCTCCAGGGAATTTATGGAAACCCCGACATGGCCCCACAGCTGGAATTGTTCACTGGGAGGTTCAAGGTGAGGGGAAAACGGGGGTGGGATGAGGGAAAATGGGGGGAAAAGAGGGTTGGGAAGGGGGAAATGGGGTTGGGATGGGGGAAAATGGGGGGAAAAGAGGGTTGGGATGAGGGAAAATGGGGTTGGGATGAGGGAAAATGGGGTTGGGATGAGGGAAAATGGGTCTGGGATGAGGGAAAATGGGTCTGGGATGAGGGAAAATGGGACTGGGATGAGGGAAATAGGGCTGGGATAAGGGAAATAGGGCTGGGATGAGGGAAAATGAGGTTGGGATGAGGGAAATAGGGTTGGGATGAGGAAAAATGAGA